ATATTTGCAATTTACCGTTATTCAGCTTAAAAAAGTAGTGGTTCCCCTTAATCAAGTACATATATCGTACGAACCAATTTAACAATCTTAATACGAAATACGGCGAATGAAAGGTAATGAAATTCTGCGTATAAATCACTTTTCGTATGGAGTTCTTTAAACTGACTAAATCTTTTAAATTTTGCACACCTGCTCCAAATGTTGAAGCAAGTTTTGATAAGATTTATGCCATTCGCGTCAGCGGAAACTACCTTGTGCACAGCCTGGAGATTATTCGGTTTCCTATGGCATTTTTTTAACACCTGATTTAACATTAATTTCTATCTACACTTGCTTCTTCTTCTGACGTACTTCTTAATTGCCGCCATCGTAAATTTTCCACTGACTGGATTTGATTTCTGTTATAATAAACAAACAAACTACCAGTTGTACACATGTATCTTTACCTTAAAACAGAAAGGCACTAACTCATTTTCTTTCGAAATTCAGCTTTATACGAAAGTCGGAAGATTACTCACTAAAGGACTAATACAGAGGTTTCCAAACTTTTTTTCTCGTAGACCCCTTTCAAAAATTTACTGGTTTCGGTAAATTTCTAAAATGTTTGAAATGTGATTATATCTACCTATGTATGTAAATTTGCATCGCGGGTGAATTCAAAAACTCGGAGTGGCCAAAATAAAACTTAAATACTTTCTTTCTTATTTTTTATTTCTATCCATCAAAATTTTCTCTGGCTTTGAGGAGTTACATTTTTTAAAGAGCACTGCCTGCCCTAGCGTTATTTACATTATCTTCACCATAAACTCATCAAATGTTCGGNCTCTCTGGCTCTGCGGAGTTACATTTTTTAAAGAGCACTTCGAGCCCTAGCGTTATTTACATTATCTTCATCATAAGCTCGTCAAATGTTCGGCTCACTCATGACTCACACTTTGTACGTGGAGTATTTGCAAAATAATTTATTAGTGTTGATGGCATGAGTTTTACTTTTATCGCTCCGAGTTTTAAAGTGAGGCGAAAAATATTTAACACTCACAGTCCTTAAANAAGTTGAGAAAGGCACTAACTCATTTTCTTTCGAAATTCAGCTTTATACGAAAGTCGGAAGATTACTCACTAAAGGACTAATACAGAGGTTTCCAAACTTTTTTTCTCGTAGACCCCTTTCAAAAATTTACTGGTTTCGGTAAATTTCTAAAATGTTTGAAATGTGATTATATCTACCTATGTATGTAAATTTGCATCGCGGGTGAATTCAAAAACTCGGAGTGGCCAAAATAAAACTTAAATACTTTCTTTCTTATTTTTTATTTCTATCCATCAAAATTCTCTCTGGCTTTGAGGAGTTACATTTTTTAAAGAGCACTGCCTGCCCTAGCGTTATTTACATTATCTTCACCATAAACTCATCAAATGTTCGGCTCACTCATGACTCACACTTTGTACGTGGAGTATTTGCAAAATAATTTATTAGTGTTGATGGCATGAGTTTTACTTTTATCGCTCCGAGTTTTAAAGTGAGGCGAAAAATATTTAACACTCACAGTCCTTAAACACAAAACTTAACACAACAAAACGGCTAAGCTTTTTACGCCAAATTTTTAATTCAGAAACTGACAATAGAGAAAAGAACGGGTCTAGAAAAATCGATGACAAACAACCTAGCAAGCAGAAAGCACGAAAAGTGTTCCACCGTCTCATCCTCTTCAAGGCAGGATGGGTAAAAGGAGTAGTAATTTACGCCTATCACAATCAGGTGTTTGTGCAACGTGAAGTGACCAGTTAGTAGTCAAACAAGTTGTCTGCAGTCTCGTCTGCTCAGTGAGAGCAAAGAACTAGATAGCCCTTCTGATATTGAAAGCAACATGAGTTTTGCCCACCTGCATCCCCTCGATGCAAGCCAGTCATTGCTGAAGAAGTATTTACCCAGTTTCTGACGGTTGCTTCGATGGCCGAAAGTGGGTGTGCTAAAACTGGTTGCGGACCGAGGAATGCCTGGCCTGAGCCAATTCTGGCCAAATGGTCAGCTGCCTCGTTACCAGGTACTCTTGAGTGACCTGGCACCAAAAGTAAAACAAGCTCGCTAAGTTTACCATCGTAATTTAGTCGAGACTTGCATTGCCGAACTAGTTTGGAAGTAGTTAGAGTGCAGGCCAATGCCTTAAGTGCAGCTTGGTTGTCACTGCAGACACGTAAATTCCTCCCCCTTCGCCTATATTCCACCACGTAGTACGTGGCTTTGAGGATTGCAATTACCTCAGCCTGGAAGACCGAAGCAATTACCCCAACAGAAAAGTGAAGCTTATCCCCATTAACTTCAAAATTGACCCCATATCATGACCCAGAGTCAGTTTTGGATCCATTAGTGAAGACAATGTGTCAGACCGGCCTCAGTGATGGATTTAAACCAGTATTTAGCCTCGGGGAACTCAACAATATAGAATCTCTTCAACAAAGGTAATAGAGGCGTACTATTCTGTGGCATTGAAAAGGCACAAGTGCTTAAATCTCTGCCGCTAGCAATTTCCGCCGCGCCCCCCTCTCTGTGTTACGCCAACATCTACTATAAGTAGCAAACTATTTTGGGGGCGTTAAGAAATGCTTAGCTGTGTTTTGTTTCTGCGGCACAATCGATTATACTATCCCTTTACTTATTTTTCTCTGTAAAGACCAAATACATGCATATGTACGTACATAAATACGTTGGCTCGTAGTAATCAGACGAATACAGTTGTTTATTGTATCCAAAGTTGGTACCAAGTTGATAAGTTTTTATCATTTCTCATAATTTAATTTTTTTTTTAATTTTTTCGAACGCAAAGGATATGATCATTCTTTTTCGCTTTATTCCGTATTCGAAAAATTATATTTTGCAATGGACACATCGATTTGAATACATAATTTTTAATTAGATAATATTTTTCGCAAATTATTTCAGAAAAATAAAACATTTAGATTATTGTTTGTATTTTCGTCGATTTTAAATTTGCTACCCCACAATAATTGATATCAAATAAAACACCTCTTTGAGGTAGAATTTTCGAGTGACGAAAGCTGAACTAGAAACACAAAATTTATGATATCAATTTCATGACGAAATTTATACGCACTTTTTAACTGCTTTTGAAACGTACGTAAAATCTTTTTTTATTTATTCGGAACTTTGCGAAATTCCATATACTGCTACAAACACAAATTAAAAAACAGAACTTTTGAAACGATTCGTATGAATAAAAAAGATTTTCCGTACGTTTCCAGGCAGTTAAAAAATGCGTATAATTTTCGTCACGAAATTGATATCATAAATTTTGTGTTTCTAGTTCAGCTTTCGGCACTCGAAAATTTTACCTCAAAGAGGTGTTTTATTTGATGTAAGCATGATACAAAAAAGAAGGTAGTTTCATTACTACTATTTTTTGATTATAAAGCAGATTTTTGACATTTCTGCAGATGTAAACATTAAGCATAGCGTTGCCACATTGAAATTTTTTGATAGGGTAGATTATCTTTTAAATATTTGGGAGTAAAATTTACATACAAACAATAGTAAGTTGATGTATTCGATAGTCAAATTTGAACGTTTTTCTCAAGCGTTTAAAAGATCCTTTGAATAATATCGATGTGCAGAGATGAAGAAATAAAATAAAATCTAGGTTTGAAACATTCATTTATTAAAATCTGTTTTTCATTATATTTTAAACAAAATAAATAAATTTACATAACAAAACTTTTTTTTTTGTTAAATAGTCCGAAGAAGATGTATTGTTAGATATTTCGTCACTGAAGCATAGTCTAAAACTAGGATACGGAGAATGTTGAATGGTCTCATTGCCCTCACAATGAAAGGAGTCACAATTCAGAATTCTCCGAAAATTAAGTATCTATAAGTAACTCTGGATGCAAAACTTTCGTGGAATCTAACGAGGACCACAAAACCTCTAAAGAATGGGCAGCATTTTGGCAATGTAAACTGGTCTTNGAAACTAGGATTCGGAAAATGTTGAATGATCTCATTGCCCTCACAATGAAAGGAGTCATAATTCAGAATTCTCCACAAGTGAAGTATCTATAAGTAACTCTGGATACAAAACTTTCGTGGAAATCTAACGAGGTACACGAAACCTCTAAAGAATGGGCAGCATTTTGGGAATGTAAACTGGTCTTAGGATTTATACCTTTATGATCAGACCCATAATTAGCTATGCGTCAGTGATAGGGTGGAGCAGATTCTCAATCAAGAGCGTGCCGTATGAGGTACGAAAGATTTCTCTACAATACGTGGCGTTGCTCTTGATGCACTGCTNTACTTCAAAGAACTACTGCCGTATGCGGTACGAAAGATTCCTCTACAATACGTGGCGTTGCTCTTGATGCACTGCTGCACTTACCGTCATTAATTTTTCTCTTGGCAAGTATGCTTCCATCTACCAGGTTGAGGTATTTGCAATCCTCAAGGATATGGACTACGTGCTGGAAAATAGGTGGAGCGGAAGGAGTTTACGTGACGGCCAAGCCGCACTTAACACACTACTTACTTCCAGACTCTGAGTGCCAGTCCTATCGTCCATAACTATAATATTTATCATATAATGAATTTCAATTTTCGTTTTTGCGCATATCGAAATTTCTTTTTAATTTTGTAAATATTTTTTTTTTACAATACATAAATGATCATTGAGGACTACGTATGGCAGCACGAAATGTCACAATCTGCTTAATTGTTAGGTAGTTAATATGGCGGAAAAGTGACAATGAAACTACCTTCTTTTTTGCATCATGGATGTAGATAAGTATACACTTAAGTATGTATGTAAATACTTAAATACTATGAAAAACTTCTTTTTGTAAGTTGCTGCTTCTCTTAGAGTAAGAGATTATTGTAGTTTAGAACAAAAATCCGTTATAACGGGACAATTTTGGTTGCCTTCAAATCGGGCGTGAACGGCGTGTTCGGAAAATCATTCAAAACCACATAAAATACCACAGATAACATTACTTTACGAAGCACATGATTGGTAAGTAATGGGTGAAGATATGCAGGCCACCAAATTTTCATCGAAGAATCTATTGCCACATGACAACTCCGCCTCCGTTTTGCCGTCCTGGCAGCGCAAATATTGACGACAGCCCTTTTCGCTGCCACTCACAAAGGTGAGCGAACGTCCCTCACAGCGATCCGCTCCGCTGGGGCATGCAACCGTTAAGGGATTGGCACAAGTTTCGGTTTTTGCATCGAAGAAGGTGCCATTGGAGCACTGACCCCATTTTGGTGCAGGGTCAGGCACTATCTTATCGTTACAATAGTAGTAGCCTCGACAAGTCGCATCATCCGAAACGAACTGATTGATGTAGGGATTTTTTGTCGTGCCGCAAACATTGTCGGGCAGCGGATGCTTGGCGCAATTAACCCTCCACTTAGCTAAACAAGTACCGCTGAGAGCATTATAATATAGACCTCTGCCGCATTGACTTTCCGAAAGCACACCCTTTTTGCACTCATAATATTTACGACAGTCTGTATCACTGGCAACCTTTACACCATTTTTGGCAATTGCACAGACATCGAGTTCCTTCAATTTGCATTGAGAATCTGTTTTGTAGACGCACGCCTGTAAGGTTGAGTTGAAATGTGTATTGTCCGGGCAAGTGCCACGAATTGGTGTGGTCGCATCATTGCAGTAGTAGTAGCCGTTACAGGATGTAGGATCGTCAATGAATTGGCCCACACTGTCTTCGCAGAAAACGCCACAGTTGCTGTAATCAGACAAAGTTTTCACACACTTTCCAGTGTCCTTATCGAAATATGGCGTAGACGAGCTGCAGGCTGTATAGTGGGACACTGAATTAATACAAGTAATGTATTGGCTACATGAATTTGGATCGCGAACTGTTGTTTCATTTGGAAAGAAGTGGCAAATATCATCGCTAACACTTGCGCGTGAGCGATTGGTGAAGAGAATCAATAAAACTGTTAGAGAGCACGCCAAATTTTTAACTAAAAATGTTGGGAAAAATATATAATTTTAGTCTAAAAATAATGTACGTATATGTGTATGTGGCCTACCTGTCATTGTGCGTTTTGCAAATGATAGACCCTTAGAACACAAAAACTTCCAAAATCCGTCTAATCGCTAATAACTCTTTGCTGATTGCCAACCTACTTGTGTACCTGCTCTTTTGGCACATCTATTTATTCGATTACCTCAATACACATAATCCACAAGTGATTTACCACCACATTCATACATTTAACACAAATAATCTCTATACGATTCTTAAAATCCACCCAGCCAGCATTTTCAATCATAAGCGACCCGAAATTGAGTCTTCTTGGCGCGCAACTAATCGCGGAACATCTCTTTTGCGATTCGTTTGTGACACCCGGGCCAAAGTAAAAAGTACCCTACGGCGTGCGCATCCTTTCGATTATAAAGCGAGTCGTAGTAGTGGTTAAAAACGACTATTTTAGTATGTAGAAAAGAGCGAGTCGTAGTAGTGGTTAAAAACGACTATTTTAGTATGTAGAAAAGAGGGTATCTGGTGCTTTACATATGTACATATCGTTACCAAAAGGTGCAAAAGTGCCAAGTCCATTTTATGAAATTGGTTGTTAGAGACGAAAAATCGATGTAGTTTCGCATTATCTGCCCATTTTCAATAACATCCGTCCTACCCCGAAAAGAAGTACACATACCAAGATTCGTTAAGATAGATATCTCAATTGTTGCTCGAGTTATCGTGTGCACAGACGGACGGACAGACAGACAGTCACCGCTTAGTCGATTTCTTTTTTCATTCTGATCATTTAGGTATGTTTTCATTTGTCTATATCTATCTCGATTCGTTTTGTCTGTTAAAAACAACCGTTATGTGAACAAAGTTTTAATACCCTTGTGCACAAGTGCGCTCGGGTATAAAAAAATTGTAAGCCTTCCAATCTTCACTACAGTCGCAGACATGAGTAAAGATACGGCATAAAATAGTTCTCTCCAATGCCACTAGACCCGTCTTACATATATGACTTAAATTTTAAAATTTTAAAGCATTTGCTACCGCAGTTAAATCTTATCTAAAATTCATAAAACAAAATACGCAACATGGGATTTAGTGATATTAATTGAGTAGTAAATATATCAACTGTATTTACGAATTTTGCTCTGCTTTGATTAAAAAATGCTCGATTACATTCATAAAAATGTACATAAATAAATGTATGTAGGTATGTGTGTATATATAATATAAGCGTGAATATGTACTAGAAATGNAAATTAAACTCGCTTAGTTTGTGGTTTGAAGATTTGCACAGAGAGCAGCACTGATGTACTAAAGAAAATGAGAGGTATGTACGTGTTAGAGAATGAACAAGATCAGTGTTAGTAGAATTGGAAATAACGGTAAATAGGTGTATGTATGCATGTGATGAAGTTTAAATAAAAAATAAAAATTCTAAAACAAAAAAAAACTCTTTCTATTTTCTTTTGGACATAATTCATAATTTCATATG